TCGATCCTTAGCGCTTTTCGGTGGAGAAGGCCCTAAACTCTAAACCCTAAACCCCAAACCCAAAACCCCAAACCCTAAACCCTAAAAAGGTCTGCTAGCCAGGGGTCCCGTCACGAGGCCAGCGATGCCGAAAGGCAGCAGCGCAAGCAAGAGCGCATGGCCACGCTGGCTCATGCTAGGCCCTAAACCCTAAACCCTAAACCCCAAACCCTAAACCTAAACCCTAAACCCTAAACCCTAAACCCTAAACCCTGAACCCTGAACCTCTACTCTAAGTGCAGGAAGCCTTGCTGCAAGAAACCCACCTTGCCGAAAGCCTCAACCCAGTACCCGCACTGCTTGTCTCGCCTTGAGCGGGTGTAGGGCTGAAGCCAGGGCCCGCAAGCCCAGAAAAATCACCGCAGATTCCTGAAACCCCTCGAAGTCCCATGGTTTCGGGGATTAGGCTTTTAGGCTTTACGTTCTTAGACCCTCTAGGGTGTTGGGGAACACACTCTACCTAACCCTAAACCCTAAGCCCTAAACCCTAGATTCTAAACCCTATCCATGGCACTCCCGGAGTGTTTTCCGAGAGGCAAAAGGTTCGGTATCAGATCTCTTGGAGCCACAGGCCGCGCAATCATTAGGGTGTTTCAGGGCTTCGGGGTGTAGAGTCTAGGGCTTAGGGTTTAGGGTTTAGGGTCTAAGAACACCTTAAGCTCTAAACCCCGAAACCCGTGAACCACTAAACCTTACAAACCCTCAATCTTTACACTCAAAACCTTGAAGCTTCCCAAGCCCTGAAGCCCTACCCGAAAGCCCAAACACCCTTAAACCCTAAACCCCAACCCCCAAAGCCCGGACCTAGCCAGACAGACTCGACCACCGCCATCGAAAGAAAGCTGCAAACCCTCCACCCCACCCCAGCCCTACTTCAACATTCCCATGAAGAGAGGGTAGGGGTGAGGGTTGAGGGACTACCATCACTCATTTGCAAAGCTGCTAGGGTAAGGGGTGCTGATTTCAAGGGAGGAAACAAACAAGAATGACATCCAAGCAAAAGCAGCAAAACGCCCTCCCCTCATATTCACAGGGAAGCCCTCAACAACAGCCCCACACAAAGGGCGATGGTTACAGGGATCAGCTTCAGGTTTGTTGTTCAGGCTTTAAGGGCTTAGGATTTAAGGTTTTAGGAGGGGATCCCAAGCCCCCTTTGCTTCTGAGCAGATGCAATGGCTACCGGGAGAACTGCAGGCCACCCGCGGTACTCCTTAACTACACCCTAGCACCATGAAGCACAGTGTGTTTATTCCTGGCATCCCCAAAGAGACATACATACACCCACCAAACCTCAATAAGGGACCCGAAAAACACTCATCAGTAACCCTCAACCCCTACCTTTCATGCAACTGCTGCCAGAGAACCGGCTTCCAGCTAACCCGCGGCGAATTCTGCCCTCAAACCCTACACTCCAGAAGCCAAACCCTGCACCGCAAAACCCTTAATTCATTAGTTGGTCCCGGCAAGCTCCGCAAGGCCTAAACAGCAAGCCCCCCCCCCCCCAAGCGCCCGGCGCTGCGAAGTAGCTGCACCCCGCCCGGAAACTGGGTCTAAGGCTCTAAGGTCGGTGAAAGGGTTCGGGCTTCAGGTTCCGGGCTTGGGGTGGTTTGGAGTTTGGGGCTTTGGGGGCATAAGGTTGACGGTGCTTGGGGTGGTGCCTTGAGGCTTTGGGGCTTACGCTGTGGCAGCTTGGGCGCAGGCTTTGCAACCCTACTCCGGAGGCCGAAGATTTGTACCCACGAGGGTTTCATCACCTTCAACATCCGCCAATGTTCCACGAGCAGACTTAGTGCGAGTTAGAGGGTCGGGGCGAAGCCCCTCTCATAGGGTTTAGGTCTCCGATTCTGAAAGATGAAGAAACCCTGAACCCTAAACCCCAAGCCCTAAACCCTAAACCCTGAGTCTAGTAGACGGTTTAAGGTTTAGGGTTTAGGGTATAGCTTCCCAAAGCCTAATTTTTTTGCCATTCGGGCTCCAGCAGCTTGAGGGTTCCGCTCTACAGCCTAAAAAAAAACCCAATTGAACTAACCCGAGCTCGCATCAGATTACAGCGAAATGTACTAGTTCATAGACCAGTCAGGACCTTATCAACTTCCTGAACCCCAAACCCTAGGCCCCCAGAAGACCCCTATGACCCGCAGCCCGCAACCCTAACCCAGACCCCTAGGAGCATCCAAGAAGTAGATTCCCTTAAGCGTTCCCAAGAATGACGCAGTCGCAGTATAGGGTACTATTTGGGGGCTTCTGCTTTTTGGATCCCAAAACCCCAAAACCCCAAAACCCCAAAACCCCAAAACCCCAAAACCCCCAAAACCCCAAAACCCCAAAACCCCAAAACCCCAAAACCCCAAAACCCCAAAACCCCAAACCCCAAAACCCCAAAACCCCAAAGCCCCAAAACCCCAAAACCCCTTCTAATTAACAACTAATGATCAAGAGCCTCCCACAAGGGGTCTGGGAAATCTCCTGAACCCTGAAAGTCGCCCGCCAAGTCAACTGAATTTGGCCTTCGGGCCTTGTCCAGACTGTGCCTCCGGGTCCCCTCCTGTCATCGGGTTTTAGGGAGATTAGGGTTTAGGGTTTAGGGTTTAGGGTTTAGGGTTTGGGGTTTAGGGTTTAGGGTTTAGGGTTTAGGGTTTAGGGTTTAGGGTTTAGGGTTTAGGGTTTAGGGTTTAGGGCTGGGGTCTAGCGTGGATTGGGCTTAGAGGTTTAAGCTTTGGGGTTGGGGTCATCTCAGGGGTCGGGGGGGCACACTCAGGCATCGTGAACGGCATTCGCGGAAGAAGAAGCGCGCTTGTGGGTCATGAGTTCACGAGGGTTTCTTAATGTCAGGATAGCTTGCTTTTACAGCAGGAAATCCCACATGCCCTGATTTGGAGAACGGCTTCGTAAACCACTTAACCCGCAAACCCAAAAACCCGAAAACCCGAAAACAAGCCACTAAGCCCGAAAACCCACAAAACCCAAAAAGAAGCGAACCCCTATAAAACCCGAAAACCCTCCCCCCTAAACCCTAAACCCTAAACCCTAAACCCTAAACCCTAAACCCTAAACCCTAAACCCTAAACCTAAACCCTAAACCCTAAACCCTAAACCCTAAACCTAAACCCTAAACCCTAAACCCTAACTCCCACGGAAAACCCCCAAGCCTTCGCGAGCCGCTGGAGCAGCTCGGAATTCTCGGTGGAGCTCGCCTCCACCGCAACCTCCGGCCATCTTCGAGGTCTTGGGGTTTGGGGTTGAGGGTTTAGGGTTTAGGGTTTAGGGTTTAGGGTTTAGGGTTTAGGGTTTAGGGTTTCGGGTTTAGCGTTTGGGTTTGTTTAGGGTTTTGGGGTTTGAGGCCTTGAGGGGGCTTTGAGGGCTCCAGGATCTCGAGATTGAGGGGTTAAGGGCTTGAGGGTTCGAAGGCTGACGTCCACTGAATCCTCAACCCTTTTGAGCTTGGAATGGCCCATCCTGAACCTCACCCCCCTCCCCCCCCCCCAGACCCCCCCCAGAACCCAAAACCTTACACCCGAAAGCCCCCGAAACCCTGAACCAAAACCGGGCTTTTGGGTTTAGGGTTTAGGGCCCTAAACCCCTTAGCCCTGCGTTGCTCCTGGTTTGTCCGCTCGGCGCTGGCCGTGGCTGTACACTGTACAACACTTCCGCTTTTGTGCACCTTCACTTTGGGCTTCGGGGTTAATCTGCGAAATGGCGAATAGACAGCGTGCATACATACATACATACATACATACATACATACATACATACATACATACATGCATACATACATACATGCATACATGCATACATAAATGCATGCATGCATACATGCATACATGCATACATGCATACATGCATACATGCATACATGCATACATGCATACATGCATACATGCATACATGCATACTTTTTATATTTAGACATAATATATATATATATATATATATATATATATATATATATATATATGTATATATATATGTTTCTTTATTTGTTTATGTGTTTATGTATTTATTTAATTGTTCATACTCAATGCTCTAAGCCCCGTGTCAGCTCCCGTCTTAAACTGGAAGGGTTTGGAGGGCCTGGGAGGCAGTGTAAGAGCTTTAAAGATCTCAAACACATATGCGTATGGGCATTTACCCAAATGGGGGTACCCCCAAAATACTATAATCCATGTTGAGGCACACCCCCCCCCCCCCATTTCCGGAAACCCCCACATCTTTCCAGGTCTATGGTTTAGCGCGAGTGGGAGTGAGCGCGAGACCCGCAGAGCCCAAAGGACCCGAACCCCTGAACCCCTACCACCGACCCGAGTTCTGGAGGGTTTAGGATTTCCTGTTTAGGGTTAGGGTGTCGGATTTAGGGTTTAGGGTTTAGGGTTTAGGGCTTAGGGCGAAGTCGGAAGCGGCAGCCAGCACTCAGTTGCCAAACCGACCTGCAACGCGCCGCTTGGACAGCTTAGGGCAGACATTCTGGGGCCTTGGAAGAGTAGAGGTAGGCATAGGCAGGGAGTAGGGAAAAGGTTGCTCCTTCGAAAGTAATCTGATTAAGCCTCGGCTGAAGACATCGACAGAGATTGGCAAGATGGCAGATACCACGCAGAAGGGCCTGCCCTGAGAACTACGACACCCCAAAAAGCACCCAAAGCTAACGATCGTGACATAGAAATCTGCCGCGTAAAGGCGCGGGCCCCATGGCAGGCCCTTCTTCAAGGTTTCGGGCCTCTAGGAAGATAGGGACTTCAGGACGTAGGAACCTCATAAAGATTGCCCCCCTAGATAACCCCTGTTGAAGGGATGAAGCGGGACTTAAGCCCCCCTGAATCCTGAACTCCAGCCCCCCTGCTCAAGAGACTCGTTCCCTTGCAGTTTCTTTAAACGCCACTTGGAGGGGTATCCACTGACATCTGAAGTTCCGTGGGAAGGCACTGGCTCTACAAGAAAAACTCCCAAGACACCTGGGCACAGGAGCGTCAGAGGTCCTCGTCTGGATCTTCCATGTCCTGCCGCAGTTGTGACGAAGACCCATCGCAATTACAAACCCGAAACCCTCAACCCGAAGGGCACTACAGGGCCCCACTACAACGGGCCAAGCCCCTGAGCCTCAAACCCGAACGAAATCCTCAAAAACTCGACCATGAAACCCTCATCCTCGGGATGCCCGCCGTTATACTAACAGCCCTGAATAGGGATTATACTAGGGGATGAAGGGCTGCTAGTATAGGGGGAACATCCCAACCTCAACCCCTTGTTTGGAGTAAGGCGGCAACTCAAGAGAGGCCAACAGATGCAGTGCGCGCCTGCCAGGACACGGCGTCGTCATCTTCCGGCACGGCAGTGCTGACGCCATCGTCATGGACAGCTTCCTTTAGGGTTTAGGGTCTAAACCCCACAAGCCTAAACCGCCGAAACCGCTACAGCTTCTTGTTGCCCCGATGCGTGGCATATGAAGACTTGCACAAAAGAAGTTCAAAAACACTCCCTGGTTGAGGGCCACGGCTGGGGGCTTGAAGGTTCATGGTACTTCAGAACCCAATTATAAAAATGTACTCAGAACCCACTTCTAAGCCCTTTCGGTGGCCCCCCCAATTGGGTTGTAATTGGGTCTTAAGTACAGCTCTGCGTGGGGTTCTTGAGTACCATGAACCTCCAAGGTAGGACCGTTGCCTTCCCCCTCGGAGCCCTCCTACACAGCACGGTTCCGCGAAGAGCCTGGATTCAGGGCTCGGAGGCCGCACGCTGCCCCGCGTTCGCACTTGCTGTTCGTAGGATAAGGCTTCTGGCAGTTGTGACCTAAGAATGATATGGGGCTCGGAAGAATGAAGAAATTCGGCCTCAACGCCCAAATCGCTATAAGGTGCCAGAAGCCAGACTCCGGCAAGAAGAGAGGATCCCCAAAAAAATCGCGCAACCCTTCCCTCCCCCCCCTTTCCCCTAAACCCTAAACCCCAAACCCTGAACCCCTAAACCCTCAACCCTAGACCCCGAGACCCAAAAGCAAACTGAGCCCCGTCCTTGCCAGCCTTGCCCTCCCCACGTCGAGCCCAGCGCCTGACTGCATTTTCGTTGGGGTTTAGGGTTTAGGGTCTAGGATTTAGGGTCTAGGGTCTAGGGTTTAGGGTCTAGGGCTTAGGGTTTAGGGTTTAGGGTTTAGGGTTTAGGGCTTAGGGGTTAGGGTCACCTGGGAAAAGAAAGGGTGGGGGTACATCACATACACCACCCTTCCAGACTTCCAAACCCCGAACTCCTGCATCCAAGAAAAGCCATGCAGCCGAACATCTAAAAGGATGAACCTTGCATAAGAGTCTGAAGACCAGCTCACAAGGGCGCCATCAAGTTAGGGGGTTTACGACGACGGGACGTTAAGGGGATAAGATTTGGCCCCTTTCCTCCGCGTTCCGCGCGATGCCACGGGAGGTGGGGGTGCCGCCAGGGAGGGCGCCAGGGTCTTCGCAAGCCTGTGAGGGGGCAGAGAGAAAGGATGGAACTTGCGGAACTACTACTTGGAGACTCATGGGTAGTCAAAAGTAGGGTTATGAATATGGTAACTGTACTTATCACCCTATTTCGGGGGCACTTATGACCTTACCTATTTATAACTACCCATGAACCTAGAAGAAATTTCTGAGTTCTGAGAAGAGGAAAAGGTACCTTATGTCTCCCTGAATAGCCGCCTGAAGACCCCTTTCAAGGATGACATATGGAACCAATAGGTTTAGGGCTTAGGAGTCCAGAAGTACCCGTCGTGTCCCCTTATCGAGCCATAGTGAATCACATACCAACTACCCAACAAACCCCGTTCCACTGAAACAGGCCCCTTGGTTGCATGTCTGAACTTGGAGCCGTCAGCGGATGTCCACACCCTGGCAAGTACCATCCCTAAACCCTAATCCTTCACCCGAACCCCTAAACCCTGAGAACTCTTGCCAAGAGCCTCCGCACAGGACCTCCGGTGTTCTACTTGACCGCCAGCCAAGGGGCTTCGTGCGCAGGTACGCGTCGGGCTCTTCGGGCAGCAGCGGGGTGATGGCCTTTGCCCACAACCCAAACTTTGAGGGTTTCGAGTTTAGGGCTTAGGGCGTCTTGAGGGTTCCCTCGCAGCCGTAAGCTGTAGACCCTAAAGCCTAAACTCTAAACCCGAAACCCTAAATCCTATAAACCAGAAAACATGGCCCATGGCCATCCGATGGACCCTCCCGCTGTGCGATGCAAGGCACAAGCCACCCCTCAACTTATGGCCTGGCAGGTTTTCTGCTGTGAACCCCATGAACCCCATGAACCCCATAAACCCCATAAACCCCATTAACCCTCTTCCGAACCCCATAAACTTTCTAAAACCCATAAACAACACGACAAACCCTGAACCTGCACACCCTAAACCCAAACAAAAGCTACAGCCATCAAATTCCCACCTTTTTCTTAAGTCGAACACCAACAAAAAAGGCAGGGAGGGAGCCCCTGAGCCCCCCCAGACCCGACCTCATACGGCCCCGGGCAGCGAATGTTTGTGTGATCTTCTGCATAGGTCTGCACCCCAACCGTGCGCTTCACTGAGGCTCAGAAGGAGCTCACGCACATGAGGTGAGCGTCACTAAGACGCAGGTGTGCAGCGATGCTCGTGATGCCCCATTCATTGTGCGCACTACTGGGATGCAGGGCTGATGCTCATGATGCGCGCGCCTCCACGGTGAGCAGAAACTGAGACGCAGGGTAGCTCATGCTCATGATGCTCCACGGCGGTGTGCATCACTGAAATGCAGGGCAGCTGATGCTCCACTCCCTGAATGCGTTTGACGCTCGAACGGTGGCTTGTGCACTAGTACGACTCGGGGCTTGCATCCAAGACCACCACATCTGGGAATTGCCCTGGGAGTTGAAGTTCATGTGGCTGTCAGAGTCATGGCCTGAGGCCCGGAAATGAGGGCCTATAACCTTATCTACTATTTGCTTAAGAACCCCAAAAGAATACAAAACAACAATCCCTATAATACCCTTAACAAGGAAGACTGGTCTGAGCGGCTGCATTTGCGTAGGCCTCTACGTCGACCTCCTCCAGATTCACCATCGTTTTCCATGGAGCGAGTTGGGGTTTACGAACATAAGGGACCTTCAACATAGACCCCAACTAGTAGGGTTCCCTTACACCAAGGACACCAAGAAAGGTACCCGAATTTCGGGCACCCCCATGTCTGGGGCTTCCGTTTGTTCAGGAGTTGTTGCGGGGGGGGGGGGGGCGGGGCTGGCCTCCTCGGCTTGTCACCTCTCCATAACTTGCATGGAGGCCCTGTCGTCTCATTTAAGGCGAAGCAGTCTTGCAGCGCGCCAACCTTTTAGGTGTAGGTAAAAGAAAAAAAAAACCGAAGCTTTGTATAGTTGCCCCCCCCCCCCCCCCCGAAGCGCTCAACCCTAAGCTGCATGAAGGCCTGCCGTGCTAGCAGCTGGCAACATTAGACCAATCCACTGTGCCATCCAAGCAATAGTGCTCCAATGTTAGACGCTTTTGGCGCTTCGGGGTTTAGGGGTTTAGGCCTTGGGGTAAGTTGAGGGTTCGGGTTTAGGGTTTTGAGGTTTTGAGGTCTTGGGGATTTGAGGCTTCAGAAGCTTCAGCGTTCGGGGCTTTAGGCTTTTCGGGTTTTTAGGGTTCAGATCCTTCGGGCATTTAGAACTTTAGGGCTCAGGGCTGCTCCAATGCCCTTGACCCTCAACACAAAGCCTGAACCCTGAAACCCTGAAAGCTTTCCGCTCCTTCAGGTGAGGCTTCCACGCAGCCGCCAGCGCCGCCCGCGCCCGGGCGCGGCAGATGAGAACCGCCTTTCGGGTCTCCCCACGGTTTAGGGTTTAGGGTTTAGGGTTTAGGGTTTAGGGTTTAGGGTTTAGGGTTTAGGGTTTAGGGTTTAGGGTTCCCGAAACAAGCCCACAGGGTTTCGGCTTTAACAAGCTTCGGGTGTCGACGCGCCAGACACTCACTCAATAAAACGCAGGCGTACATGAGCAAACACGCATGTTAAGGGCTGAGGGTTTATGGCTTGTGGTGTGTGCTGCGCGGTCACGCGCTTGCGAATGAGGCGCTGATCACGCTGCGCTAGAGGCCACCTAAACTGCGCTTGAGCGCCCAAACGCCTTTAAAGGGGAGCTTGCTCACTCATTCTCTCTCACCCACTCCCCACCCCCGTCCCAGATGCTTCACCACAAACACCACCGCCACCAGCCCTTCATCAGGCGAAGAAAAATCAAGGGCGCCCTCCCAAAGGGCCACCCCCCCATGAATCTACGGCCTGAATTAGGGAAGAGTGGGGCGTATCTCTTTGGGGAGAGGGCTTGGGGAACCTCAATGACGACCCATCTTGCAGAGTGCGGTGCTCACGTGCCCTGGGCTCGGGGTCGAGGGCTGAGGGCTGCGGGCTGAGGGTTGAGGGTTCAGGGTTCAGGGTTCAGGGTTTTCATTCTGCCCCGGAGCACCTGGCGCTGCGCCATCGGCGAAGAAGCGTCGCGAAGAATGGACGCCCCATACCTCTGCCAAGAAGCACGAAAATCCTGGTGCCTGACAATCTACTGGTTTAGGGTTCGGTTCAGGGCATAACACGCCAAGAGGGTTAAGCGATAAACCGACGAGATGCAGAGCTACAGAGAAGAATTTCCATGCACTTGGCGGTGGGAGGCGCGGGGGTTGTTCTACATTTTGGGTGTCGGGTTCGGGGCTTGGGGTTTATGAGTCTGCAAGTAGGTCCCCCCTGAAACTCTAGAAAAGAAGGACCCCCCCCACCAAACGGAAGCCTGAGGGGCTTGAAAGGATCAGGCTAAAGGGCTTGTTTGGGCTTTTCTGCTGCTGCCACAGGCAACTCCTCCCCGCTACGGGAGACATGCAAAGCTGAGGGCTTACAGGGCTACGTAACCCTAAATCCTAACCCCTAAACCCCTAAACCCTAACCCTAAGCCCTAAGCCCTAAGCCCTAAACCCTAAACCCTAAACCCTAAACCCTAAGCCCTAAACCCTAAACCCTAAACCCTAACCCGAACAAGCCTTGCCCAAAACCCTCACACCCCGAACTCGCTGGGCGATGGGACTCGGCAGTCAGCCGCGCGAAGTGCTCGCCATGGAGAACCTTTGGATTTACTGTAGGAGCCGGAATAATTGGAATAGGGTTTTGGGTGGGTTATTATGGTATAATTGTCAAGAAACCTTATTCGTAATTCTTCCGACCCATAGACTATAGGTTTGCAGAGTGCGGGTTTGGCGCCCTCGCGGGGGTTCAGGGTAACAAGACTATGAGGCACGCTTCCGTCTGTCCGGATGTGCTGAAACAGTCGGATAGCCCGCCACAGTACCCTGGACCATGTGGCGTGGCTACGCCCTGACTCATTTCAACAAGATTGTGCTTCTAAGGCCTCTACAATCCACGCTCCCAGCCCTAATTCGGGATCCATAGTACGAATTTCAACCCCCAACCCTTAGCCCTGAACCCAAACCTAAACCCAAAACCCCTAAACCAACCCTAAACCCTAAGCCCCTAAACCAACCCTAAAGCCTCAAGCCCTGAGCCCTAAACCCTAAACCGCTCTAAACCCTCAAGCCCTTAACCCGAAACCCAAAACCCTAAACATCCCTCAATCCTCTAAACATCCCTCAATCCTCGGCCGCGCAGCCTCGAGGAGTCCGCGCCCGGTAAGACCTCGAGCGACGCCCGGCGGCAGCAGCGCAGGGTCTGAGGCGTAGAGCGCCTGGCAAGGGCTGTGGGGGGGGCCTTTTGCGACTGCGCAGGGTTTAGGGTTTGGGGTTAGGGTTTAGGGTTTAGGGTTTAGGGTTGGGGGTTGAGGGTTTAGGGTTTAGGGTTTAGGGTTTAGGGTTTAGGGCTCAGGGTTTAGGGTTTAGGGTTTAGGGCTGAGGGTTTAGGGTTTAGGGTTTAGGGTTTAGGATTTAGGGTTTAGGGTTTAGGGGTTTCGGGTGTAGGGGTTTAGGGGTTTAGGGTTTAGGGTTCAGATATTCGGGGTTCAGGGTTTCGGGGTTCTGGGGGGGTTAGGGCTTTAGGGCCTCGGGCTTGAGATTTAGGCCTTTGGGGCTCAGGGCTTTGAATCTTTTGGGCCCTCGAGGCACCAGGGGGAAAAGCTGCACCAAAACTCGAAGTGACCCAAAACCCCGCAGCTAATCGAAAAAATCCAACCACTCAAACCCCCAAATCCCCAAAGTCAACCCCCCCCAAACCCCACAACACTAAACCCTAAACCCCCAAAGCTGTTCATATCCACGCTCAGCCCAGGCCCCCTTTGGCCACCTGCGCCGTCTTGTCGATCGGAAAGTTTCCCGCCAGGACCTTGGAGTTTAAGGTTTTGGGGGGTTTACTTTTCATGGGTAGTTAGAAGTAGGGTTAGAACTATGGTAGCTATACTTAGAACCCCATTTAGGGTACTTATAACCTTACTTATAACTACCCATGAACCTCCAAGTACCTCTTGAGTGCGATGAGTCCCTAATTAAATTGGGGACCCTCCCTTGGGTACCTTTTTGGCTGCTGTACCAGATGCCTGTCTGGTAGAGCAGCATAAGAATACGGAGCAATACCCTGCGCGTAAAACCCCAGATGGCCGCTTGAGGCTAAGAGTTCGAGACATCCTCTGGGCATGGTTTTTCAATGTTCCAAGAAAGAGGGGGTATTTCCCCCCAAGTACAGGTCTGGTAACATCGGGTTTAGGGCTTAGGATACTCGAATTCCTTTGGAGGAACCACGCAAAGCGTTACCCCCCAATCTTCAAAACCTCATGTACACCCCGCCTGCCGCCCCGCCGACTGATGCATAACGGAAAAGCAGATGAACCCATTGAGTTTATCAACATAACATTTCTGGACGTAAGGGATCCTGGGGACGGGAGAACGCAGGCATTCTCAGCTTTGAAATACAGGTTACAAGCACCAAAAAGACTGCTCACACTACCCAGGCCCTTACATTGCCCCGAAGCGTCCGGAAGCCTGCCCTGGAACTTTCTACTCATCTGAGGCGGGACACGGCATCTCGAATGTCCTCACTGCTCTGGAACCTTTGTTGACAGGTTTGGCACGTAAACCCTCATCATGGGGGCCTGTTAAAGCCATGTGGTTCGCTGTTGCGGTTCAGGGGCTCGGGCTTGCAACTAAGTTACCAAAGGGTAGTCCTTCCTGCAGCTCTATGTTGTCGTGTAGCTTGATGAGTTCAACCCGAAACCCTAAACCCCTCAACCCTAAACAGTCAGAACTGGCTTCGACCGGCACACGACTACCCAGGATTCTTCAAAAGCCTGTTCAAACATTGACGGCTTTTGGATCCGAAGCCCTCCTTGGCAGGGCAAACCGAAGCACGGGGGCAGAAGGTTTTGCACCTGCAAAAATCTCACCCCTAAACCAGAAAAGCCCTAAACCCCCCAAAAACCCCTAAACCCGGAAACCCTGCAACCCCTAAAACCCCTAAACCCCTAAAACCCCTGAAACCTGAGCCATAAACCCCCTCAGCCTGCACACAACGACATGCAAAAACATCTGACCCCGAAACCCCTAACCCCTAAACCCTAAACCCCAAACCCCTAAACCCTAAACCCCTAAACCCTAAACCCTAAACCCTACACCCAATACCCGAAACCCTCAAAGACAAGGCCAGGGGGCTCGCCACTCTGTGCCCGCAAGGTGATGTCCTTCAACCTGGCCACCTGCGGCTGACTTTCAGCCAAAAGAGGCGGATTAGGGTTTGGGGTTTTGGGATTTAGGGTTTTAAGGTTTGGGGTTTTGGGGTTTTGGGGTTTTGGGGTTTGGGGGTTTTGGGGTTTTGGGGTTTTGGGGTTTGGGGATTTGGGGATTTGGGGCTTAGGGTTTAGGGTTTAGCTGCAGTTTTTCTCCTTGCCGGTTCTTAGTAGGGAATTTGGGAATCCGGCGCTCGAAAACCACTTGAAAGGGTACCAAATTCCCCCGAGTTCCCTGCAACAGCCTTTCTATGACGTGCCTCTTGCTGGGGTTACCTTGGGATGTTCCCCCTTTGTCTAACAGCCCTTAATTAATGGGATTATTACCCCCCCAATTTCAGGGGAACTTCCAAAGGGTAACCCTATAAAACTCTACAGCCTCCCTGCGAAGCACTGGGAGGCTTCTGCTGCGCCAGCTCGGGCTGAAGGCTCGCTTGAGGGGTTAGGGTTGAAGGTTCGGTTTCGGGTTCTTGGGTTTCAGGGTTTGGGGTTTTAGGGGTTGTGTGTGGATTTAGAGTTTAGGGTTTAGGGCTATCGTCTGGGATTGAGACCGGGGTTCGGGCGCACGCAGTAAGAGGGGAGTGCTTAGAGCAACGGACCACCCTTCAGCCCCCTCCGCTAACCTGCGAACCTCCTGCTCCTCGCACGCTTCCTTCGGCACGGGAAGATATGAGTCCCCTGTGACGAAGTGGAAGGTGCCGCGCCTGCAGATCATCATCTTTTGAAGGGAGCAACTTTACGGGCCCTGTTTTTCTTTTTGTTTGGGGGGGGGGGGGAATTCTGGGAAATTAACCGCCTGAAGAGAGGCCAACGAGCAAGGCAAGGTATCCCCCACCTTCGGGTCGAAGAAGCCCATGCCCACTAGCCCCCTGAACCCTAAACCCTAAGCCATAAGCCAGAAACCCTAAACCCTAAGCAATAAGCCATAAACCATAAACCCTAAACCCCTAAGCCCTAAACCCTAAGCCAGAAACGCAGACCCTGGCAGCTCCTGTCGTTCTCCGCCAGGTCTACCATAATGAAGGTCTTCCCTGTCGGCCTCGCCTTTATCTGAGGAGTTAAGGGCCTAACGGTTTAGAATTTGAGGTTCAGGGTTTCGGGTCTGGGGTCTCAGGGTGGAATCCGTCTGAGAGTTGAGACCCCCCAATTCCCGAGAAATGTTCGGTCAACGCATCCGAACATTCTGCAAGCCTGACCCCACCCACCTCCCACTTCCGCCGATATGTATACATATATACATATATACATATACATATATATATATATGTATGTATATGTACATACACACATACACACATACACACATACACACATACACACATACACACATACACACATACACACATACACACATACACACATACACACATACACACATACACACACTCACACATTCACACATACACACATACATACATACATACATGCATGCATACATACATACATACATACATACATACAGACGTACAGACATACAGACATAAAGAAGTACAGACATACAGACATTCAGACATACATACATGCATACATGCATGCATACATACATACATATCCATATACACCTATCTACATGTATACATGTATATACACATACATATGTACATGTTTATATATGTATACATATGTACATATTACATACATAACATGAGAGCAGGTCGAACGATAGCTAGGACTTGGGCGGCCGTGGCCGGTGTTTTTCGGCAGCACTGTCGTTATTCATCGGGGTTGAGGGCTTCAGGGTGTTTAGGGTAAGGATAAGAACTGTAAGCTCAGCCAGCCTGGCGGAATCTACACGTTGAGGTTTCACTTCTTGCGACAATTCGGATGCGTGATGTTGACACACACCGAAGGCCTTAGGGGGCTCACCTTCTCAAAAACACCGGGCGCAGTGACGTGTCCGACAGGCACAAGCCGGACATGTCAGGCCGAAGGTCCCCTCAAGCAAGTCTCGTTTGGCCCCCACGACAAGACGGTTGTAAAGAAACACATTATCGCAAGCTCCCAGGAGCTTGCTGGTGTGAGAGACTGACATCGCCCAAAAACCATGTGGAACCCGGAAACCCCCCCCGCAAACTGAGGATTCTTACGTGCCCACGGAAAGCTCTCCAAACCAAGGAACCTCCAAGTAGCCCACCATGACAGCCCGGGTTCAAGACCGGTTCAAGACTTGGGTTTGGGATTTCGGTCAACCCCAAACCCCAAACCCTAAACCTTGGAGGGATTTTGTGAGAGCTGAAACGGTGCCCAGCAGCCAGCGCCAGCATGTCCCGACAGCAAGGCGCGCCTGAGCTGAATTTAGGGTTTTGGGTTCAAAGTTTAGGGTTTAGGGTTGGGGTTTAGGGTTTAGGGTTGACAGTATCAAGCCAAAAATTGGATCTTCCTACGGTGCACCTGTCTGGGGTTTGCCCTTCATTTCTCTTCTTGACGCGCCGGCGCCCTCTAAGCCATGAAGCCCACGAACCCCAGGGCCCAAACCGAAATGCCTCGCAACCTCTGGTTAGGGTTTTTTTGCTATGGCCACACGCTTTGGCGCCTGCCTGGTTTAGGGTTTAAAGTTTAGGGCTTAGGACTTCGGGCTTAGGGTCTAGGGTTGGAAGGCTTGTGGGGTCAGGGTTTAGCGTACAGGGTTTCGGTGCCCTGGGCTAGGGTTTCAGGATCGGAGTGGTTGGAAGCCCAGGGCACAGCTGCGGAAACCAGCTTTCGCGACGACGGAGGCGACAGGCAGGTCACCGTCGTTCCTGAGAGTCACAGATACCCGAAAATGCTCCCTAAACCCTAAACCCTAAACCCTAAACCCTGAACCCTAAACCCTAAACCCTAAACCCACAATCCTACCGATATTCAGAGCTTAGGACTTGGGAGTCACACCCTGGGGGCACATCGGAGATCAGGGCTTGGGGACAAACTCGGGGATGTGGGGTTCAGGTTTAGGGTTTAGGGTTTAGGGTTTAGGGTTTAAGGTTTAGGGTTTAGGGTTTAGGGTTTAAGGTTTAGGGCTTAAGGTTTAGGGGTTTAGAGTTTAGGGGTTAGGGTTTAGGGTTTACGGTTTAGGGTTTAGGGCTCTTCAAGGTTTTGGCGTTTAGGGTTTTAGGGCTTTAGGGTGTTAGGGTGTTAGGGCTTTTGGGTTTAGGGACATTAGGGCTTGGGGCTCTTCAAGGGTTTGGTGTGAAATGCATCACTTCAGGAAGGCGCCTCCCAACCCTGAACCCTAAAGACCCTTAAACCCTTAAAACCCTTAAAAACCCTCAAACCCGCAAACCCTCAAACCCTTAAGCCCTCAACCCCTTAAACCCTTAAACCCTTAAACCCTAAACCCCAAACCCCGCGTGCCCGAGGCTCTTGAGAATGTGGTCCACATGGTTCTCCCACTCGACGTGCATCCGCTCGTTGAAAGCCGAGCCTGGGCCGCGGAGACCCCGAAACCTTGTAGCCGACAACCCCAAGACCCTCTAGTCCCAAGGGCCTTAGGGCTCACGGCCTCAGGTTTAGGGTTTAGGGTTTAGGGTTTGAGGCCTATGTATTCCTTTTTTTTGAAGTGCAAGGATGATGGGTACTTGGGGGGTACGCCAGGAGGGGTCAACCCCCTGGCACCCGAAGAAACTTTTAGGGCTGAGGGTTTCGGGTTGGGCGTCTGCGGGAGGATCCCTACTAAATTCCAGTCTGAGTTACGAGGCATTGGGCTTTCTGGGTCGTGCTTTCGGGCTATGGGGTGACAGGATTTGGGGGAACCCTAAACCCTAAACCTTAAACCTTAAACCCTAAACCCTAAACCCAGGCTCATAGGGTTTAGGGCGCAGGGTTGGGAAGCAAGGGGCTGCGGCTCTTTGTGGTGAAGTCGTACTTCGGCAGCGCTTGCCAGCCCTCTCCTGTCTGGGATGCACGTCTTTATTTTTGGCGGGGCGAGGGGTTAAACCCGAAACCCTGAACCCTAAACCCAGGCTTCAGGGATTTGTGTTGAAAACCACTCCCAAAAAAAGTCTTCAAACAAAGAGACTTGCTGTTTCAAAGCCATCACTACTCTGGCTTTCGAGTGCTGAGATTGCAGCGGCGGGCGCTCTTAGGGGATTCGGGCGAAGAAAATCCCTAAAAACTTACACAATGAAGCCGGGGTGTATCTGAGGCGGGAATAAGTATGAATAGCCACAAGAGCAACGCAGTAAGGCCAAGACCCTACCCTAGGAATTTACGGGTTTCAGGGTTTTAGGGTTTAAGGTTTCGGGCTTCGGGGAACCCTCCTAGAACCTAAACCCTAAACCCTCAACCCTGAACCCTAGAACCTCAACCCTAAACCCCGCCTGGGATCGCTTCCTGGAAGCTGCCCACTCGAGGGCCTCCACCCCGTCGCTTGTCGTCCAGGGACCTGACCGGTTGAGGTTGAGGGTTTGGGGTTTAGAGTGTAGGGTGGAGGTTTAGGATTCAGGCCCCCCATACATGTAAATATGTATATATGCAGGTATGTATACATACATAAATATAATAAATATATATATATATACATACATATGATAGTGCATACATACATCTATACGTAGACATGCATATACATGAACATATACATCATAACACCCATAGGTATATCAAACTATATGGCTTTAAGTTTTAAGCCCTGGGAACGCCCAACCCTAAGCCCGAAGCTCCGAAGCCTAAAGCCTTCGAACCCCGATCCGGGGCGAGATCCGCTCTGCCACCAAGGTTAAGCTTTGTTGAAGGATTAGGGTTCAGGGTTAAGCTAAAGCTCCAGTAAGGAAGCGACCCTCACCCCAAAAAAGAAAGACCCACAACTCGGAGTCAGGTCCATGCTCATCTTTTTGAAGAGGTGACATGAAATTCAGAATTATATACAGAATACAAATTATCCTAAGCCCTAAACCCTAAACCCTGAAATGAGAATAATATCAATCGAAAACATGGAGGGGGAAAAACTGCACCCTAGAAGAACCCTAAACAACCCAAAGCCTCAAAGCGACAAACCCTGCAGCCTGACACCTCTCTAAGGCTTCAGGGTTTAGGGCTTAGGGGTTTAGGGGTTGAAGGGTTTAGGAGTTTAGGGGTAGGGTTTAGGGGCTTAGGGTTGTGGGATAAGGGAAAATGTGTCTAAGACACTGACGGCTCTGTTGTAATAGGAGCACATCACTTAGACCCTTGGCCGTCCAACCTCACAGTGCGTTGAGAGTCTGGGGGTATGGGGAATCTTGCGTTGGCTGCCACCTGGAGCAAGTTTGCAATCCTAACCTGAATCCCTCAATAGCACATCCTTAGAACGCGGTAAGCCCTTCAGCGGCAATCAACCCCTTCTAAGCCCAGCATCCTAAACCCCAAGCTCCTGACCACACCCCTCAACCCCCCCAAGCCCTTACATCCTTCAACCCTTCAAGCCTCCTAACACCCTAAAGCCCGTCAACCCCGAAGCCCCCAAAACCCCAAACATAATTTTAAAAAAAAACTTAAACCTTAAAACCCTGGACCCCAAACGACTAAACCCCCCAAACCCTAAACCCCTAAACCCTGCAAACCCTTCAACTGGGGCGCCCGACAGCTGAATGTCAGCCGCAGTCGTCTCGCGGAACTCCCGGGGGGCAGTGCAGAGGTACGGCTCCTTGCCAGCTTGTGCTTTCAAGATTTAGGGTTTAGGGCTTAGAGTTTACAGTTTAGGGCTTAGGGCTTAGGATTACGTACCAAGAGCCTGTTAAATAGTGAACGCCAATGCACCAATCATGCCCCCTCGATATTTGCTCACATGACTTCCAGCATAGCCGAGCGAACCACGAGCCTGATATTCATATTGTAGGATTCATCACGTCACACGCACCATCATTGCTACTACTGTTTTTTCCGAAGCCGTGGATGAACTGAGGGAACCTGTCAATCGAAGGGCGCCTAAGTATTCACCCGTGTTCTCATAGAATCCCTGGCCGAACTGTGCAAAGACCGTGTGTTCGTCTCACCGCCCGGGACGTTGCTAGGAATATAAGCCCCTGTTCACCTGCTGAAACTCATGCACCAGAGAACTAACTTTGTTCATTCTCAGCGCTGTTCGCGTGTTGCCTTCGTGAGGGAATAGTAAGGACGATGAGAATGAACGAATGTACTGTGTGAAGGCTCCGGTACCGGGCCCATCGTGGGTGCTACCGACCCTCCTGGCCGTGGGAAGCGGAAGAGCGACCTGGGTCGGCTTGCGCCATTTGGGTCGGGGGCTTAGGCGCCGCTCCCCCCACCGTAGGAGGCTGCCTAAACCTCGAGTTTCGGGTTTAGGGTGTCGCTGCTTCACTGGAGTTTACACTAAGTCCACGTGGGCACGGTTGTAGCTGGTCGGCCAGGGCCCTGCTTCAATGACTGGTGACCCTGGAAGTGGATACAACCTTCTTTGGGGCACGTAGAACCCTGTTGATGACTGCCGGCTATCTTTCAGGCACGCGCTACAGCTTGATTTGGAGGAGTGCTAAACCTACTATTTTCTTAAGAACCCTCCCCAAAAATAAATACATATATATATATGTACATATACATATGAGTCCTTATAAGGGCAATATAGGGACCATTATTCTATACTCTCTTCGGTTTCTTCCGCAAGTTGTAACCAGTGGAAGCTTGTTCATGGTTGGGATAGTACTAACTATTTGAATTTCTATTCCTTACTGAGTTTAAGTACCCTTAAAAATGTAAAATGTTACCCCACTATGACAAAGGACCCTAAACCCCAAACCCCAAACCCTAAACCCTAAACCCTGTTCGCCTTCTTGGGATCCATCAAGGCCGCGCGGAAGGAGAAGGCGCCGCCACAGCAACCGGTGGAGTGGTAGTGCTGGAGAATATAGCCTTCGGAGTTTGCCCTGTAGGGTTTAGGGTTTAGGGTTTAGGGTTTAGGGTTTAGGGTTTAGGGTTTAGGGTTTAGGGTTTAGGGTTTAGGGTCGAGGGTTGAGGGTTGAGGGTTGAGGGTTTAGGGTCGAGGGTTGAGGGTTGAGGGTTGAGGGTTGAGGGTTGAGGGTTTAGGGTTCCCGAAACCCCAAGAACGCGCCGACAAAACCCTAACATCCAAGCCCTATCTGCTTGGGCGGGGGGTGGCGTGCGGAAGGACCACAGGAAAACATGACCAGCTGTGAAATGCAACAGCCCTCAGGCCCTGAACCCTGAACCTCAAACAAGTCCCAAACTAATGATTACAACTATAGCAATAACACAATAATGATTTTGCAACAAAAACCAAAAACAACACAACCCAAAAGCCCAAAAACCCGAAAAAGCAAAAACCCATAACCCGGACGCCAAGTTGCTGGGGCAAGCAGCCGCGCGGGTCTCGCGCTCAAGCTTTTGTGAGCTCATGGCGCCGATCTAAAGAACCCACTGAAACTCTCCAGGCTCCCTGCCTTGGGATTCCCAAACGCTCGACCGCAGATCGGGTTGGGGGGGGGTTTAGGGTTTAGGGTTTAGGATTTAGATCGCAGATCGGGTTGGGGGGGGGGCGCCAGGGTTTCGGGTTTAGGGTTTAGGGCTAAGGGTTCAGGGTTCAGGGTTGAGGGTTCAAGGGTAGGAGGGCCCCATCTGCCTAAGTCGCCCCAATATCGCCCCAAGAAAAACCCCAAGGGCCCCTCCTTTCGTGCCCCTCCCTCGGTCAAAGAGTTTAGGATTTGGGGGATTTAGGGTTCCGAGTTCCCCGAATTGTAGTCTCTGAAGGGCCAACCCCCAAAGCCACCGGCGCAAGTTGCCATACCACCGCGAACCAAACCAAATGGGGCATCATCTGGGTACTCCAGCCCCTGAAACCCTAAACACTTCATCCCTAAACCCTGAAGCCCTATGTCTTGGCTGCACTTAGCAGGGTAGCTCTAAATTTAGTTTTTAGCTGCCTCATTAAGAAACCCAATAAACCCAAAAAGGCTAAGGATCTAAAGGTACAAGAAAGCACCAGAGAGATGTATACAAGTCCAAACATCTTTGGCCAACCTTACATCCAGGACCATCTCTGCTGCTGAACTCAGGGCTCCCGCAACTCTGCACATGTCAACCGGACTGGTTTAGGGCTTAGGGTATAGGGTATAGGGTTTAGGGTTGAGGGTTTAGGGTATAGGGTTTAGGGTTTAGGGCTTAGGGCTTAGGGCCTAGGGTTAACACACATAAATACTCGCCCTGCTGAATCCCAACTCCATCACCTCGCATCGGAGCCCCAATAGCTCCAAACCCTTCCACGCCTCCTCCACAAGCAAGGTCAGCTTCATGATGAGACGCCCATGTCTGCAAACTCCATCATCTGACCACTCAACCCTGAAACACTCAAAAGTCAGACTTGGGTTACCCGTGCTTACCCTAAACCACACACCGAAGTTGCGATAGTTGGCACCACTCGGCGTGCTTACAAAGGCTTACCTCTTGAGCAGGAGCGCCGGCTGTCGCAGCTCGAGAGCTCGAAAGCTCAAAACCCTAAGCCTAGGCCCAAAGTCTCAAGCCAAGAATCAATTCATCCCTAAACCCTAAACCCTAAACCCTAAACCCTAAACCCTAAACCCGAATCCCGCAGCCAAGCCCTCAGCCCGCCCAACGAGCCCCTAAAAAGTTTGTGGGGCTCGGAACAAGGGAATGCGGGAGGCGGCTTGAGGGATTCGTCTCAAGGCTTCTAAGTTTCCTTGCGGGCTTAGGCGCAAAATTTTCTGGGTGTTCAGGGTCTTGGGGTTTTCGGTCTTCAGGAGGGTTTCAGGTCTTAAGGGCCCTTTGGGGCTTTTTGGGGCGGCCATCTTGAGAAGCTAAAGGACGGGCCTTTAGAGCTCTCTAGGGTCCCGGTTGAAATTCATTACTTGGGATGTTCCCCCTGATACTCACAGTCCTTAATAGGGATTCTGATAGGGGGTACTTAGTATAAGGGGGAACACCCCAACTCATGACGTCATTTCTCTTCCTGGCGCTTACGGCTTCGTCCCACGCGGCCACCAGCTTCAGCCCAGGCTGGTCATCACGCACGAGACCTTGAGTTTGGGATGTTCCCCCTTGATACTAACAGTCCTTACTAGGGATTATCGTATCCCCTACAAAAATCCCTATTGAGGACTGGTAGTATAAGGGGGAACATCCCAACCTTGAGTTTTTTGCCGACGCTACACTCGGCCAAGACCCAAAAACCCCCTAATACGACCCTACGCCTCCGTGAAACATGTTGGCCAACATGCCTTCGGTACTCAACTTGCACTTTCCAGGGTTTAGGGTTTAGGGTTCAGGGTTTAGGGTTTAGGGTTTAGGGTGTAGGGTTTAGGGTTTAGGGTTTAGGGTTTAGGGTTTAGGGGGAGTGCAGACTTTTGGGGGTTGAGCGGGTCGAGGGTGCACTCGTACACTCCTGGACTGCCTTTGTGCAGGGCTTGTGGCCTCTACCTTCGAACTTTTTTAGGTTGCGGGAAGACCGCTCGCAGCAGAGGGGCCACGTGTCTCCTGTCAGCTTGTTGGGGAAGCTGAGTGCCCTAAACCCAACCCTGAATCCTGCACCTTGAGTCCTAAACCCAGCATGACACCGTCAACCTCAACCTCCTTGAAGGTTTCATGGGCTGCTGGAACTGCAGAAGTGGAGCACGGCAACTAGAGTTACAACGGCTTGCCGCCTGCAGCCCTGCTTAGAACTACCCACCAGTAAGATGCAGGGCCCCTGAAGACCCCAAAGCCCAAAACCCGAAATCCACTGAGTCAAGCAACCCCTAAACCCAACCCTAAACCCTAAACCCTAAACTTTAAAAACTCCACAGATTGCACCTCCTGGCTCATCCTGGCCCCTCGACCGTGGCCCTCAGTTCCATGATCGCTGAAGCGAAGATTTGATCAAGGTTGAGGGTTGCAGGGGTCAGGGCTTGCGGTTTAGGGTCTAGGGGCCTCAACCCAAAGCTCCGAACCCTAAAAAACTTGAGCCCTAAACCCTGTCTTGCCTGGAATCAAAGCCCGAGCCTGGGGCTAAGTGTGCATTAACGAAGCTGAAAGCAATGCTGAAATTATTGTGGCTTCGTGGCTTTTTCCCTGCATGCGGCAAAGTTGCGCACCGCATCTGAGCATGAAGCTTTTCGCGACTCACAGTCATGCATGAAACACACGATCATTAGCTCAAGTTCCTGTGGGCTCTCAGGTGTACACATCAGAGCATGGCCACGCTCGATAAGTACACTTTCTGACATCAGAGGACCACTTGGTAGGCGTCCTCTGAAGATGAGAATGGGATATCCTAAGCCTGGTGATAGACAAATGTGAGCCGGGAGCCGGCCAGCTGGACCGAGTGTACAGAGATTGAGATCTTCTTGTGCACGCCAACCTTCACAAAGTTTGCCCAGCCTCGCCCTCCTCCGGCGATGATGGGGGAGTTCTCCATGCTCTTGCGCTCTGTGTCTACCGCCACATCACAGCTGACGACTGACTCCTTATCCACGAAAAGGTAGAGAGAAGCAAACTCGTCCTCGGCCGAGGTAGTCCCCTGTGGATAATATCGAAGCCAAGCAGCAACGCCGGTGCCTGCTATCTCGAACTGAGGGCTGGTGGAGGACTCTCCCTTGCACATAAAGGAACCATCGACGTGAGAAACGTCCCACTCAACGGTCATTGTGGGCTGTACGCCGGAACGCTCCTCCTGTCGCACCCTCTTCTGCTCTGAGGTCAACAGCTCGATGCGTTCCTCCTGCTCGCTGCACTTCTGCTGCAGATCTTGGTACTCCATCTGCACCTGCATGAGCCTGCGACTGGTGATGCTCAACACAAGATGAAGCGCTTCCTGACTGTAGCCACTCATGTTGTAGGCCTTCAGGCTTGCCTGCTGGGCCAGAACCTGGCTCTTCATGTCGCCTTCCTCTTCCAGCTCCTTACACGCCGTGAGCACGACCTTCGCGCCATCCTCTCCACGCCCCGCTGACTGGAGCTGGTCGGCCAGTCTGAAGGCTGATTCTGGCCGCAGGGCGCGGATGGTGCCATCCTCCAGGGGAAGTTTACCCAGAAACTCCTCCGGGATACAGCCATGTGCATCAAGGAGGAAGCTGATGAAAGCATCTTCCCTGGCCATCCTGCCCTTGGACTGCAGCTCATTTGTGAAGAACTCCTTCAGGTGCCCCAGCACTTCCGTGTTGCTGGGATCGACATATGCGGCTTCCAGCAGCAGCTCAACCTGCGCAGCGGGCTCCTCCTGCTGAGAAGCCATGCCCAGCAGCAGCTGGGCCTGGACTTGCACACTGCCTCCGAGCGGATCATCCAGCCCAAGGTCTGTACGGAAGACCTCCCGAGCATGTGACACAGCCATGGCACGGTCCTGCATGTAGTCCACGGCCTGCCTGGAGATGTTGCAGGGCAACTCGGGGGAGACGGTGATGAGATTGTGGCGGGCAGCCATGACAAGTGCGGCCGCCTTGACCCACTCGGGATTGCCGCACACGGCATGTTTCTGAACGAACTTCCACAACTGGCGTGCACCGAATTCATCAAAGGACTTCAGTGCCAGCCTACATGCTTGCTCTCGGTCAACTGCATGGCAGCACGGCGACTTGGGGGGCACATGCGCTGCCAGGCAGAACCTGGCAATGGTCTGGTCATCCAAATCCGCAAGCTGGGACTTCATACCAAGCTTCACAACGAACTTCTCCACAACCATCTTCAAATCAACTGTGGCATCTTGACACATTCTGCACAGCTCGACCAATGCATCGCCACGCAGTGGGCTTGGCAACTGCGCCTTGCGCATCAAGATTGTCATCAAGGAGTCCTTGGCTATCGGGTCGGGCAGCTTCTCACGAACAAAGCCCTCGGCTCTGAAGAGAAGCTTCAGCGCCTGCAGGTGGGACATAAACGGGGCGTGTGAGACGACCTCCTCCACCAACTTCTCCTTAAACTCCACAATCGCTGTCTTCATCTTCTCATCCGGAACCAGCCTCCTCCCCATGAAAAGATTGGTCAAGGGGCTCGCGGTCCGATGTCGCAGGGCCTCCTGAATGGCCTTCCTTTCGTAAGTCTTACCATCCTCCGCACGCACCGGGTCTTCAAATAGGCACAAGGAGATGGGGCAGCAAAACTCCTCGGGATCTTCTTCCAAGCGCCTTGCAAGGGACTCCATGATGATCCGCATGTGGCAGTCGCTTGCTGAGTCTTGGGCGGGCTGGACACTCATCTCCTCTGGGAGCTCTCAGGCCGACTAAGCCGAGGGCCTCCCCTTGATCAAAGCAAAGGCTCCCGGGTTTTTTGTGCAAGATAGGTCACTGAGGTCACTCACCTGCGACAAACCCTTGAAGCCAATGAACCTATCTGAACTGTTAAGATGGCCATGGTGTCCTGCACTGCCACTACTTCGGAAACCAAGCTTTGGCTCGTTGCTGGCTAGCTACGTCCGGAACATCAGGAAGTGGCAAGTCCACGTAAATGTAGCAATTTATGTGGCGAGAAAGATGTTAACTTGCAACCTTGTGTCACAGCTGAGTGCCCTGCCAAGCCCGCCGGGCGGGCTGCACAACGCCGCTGAGCCCGCATCCAAAGGAGTCTCATGACACAAGATGGGATCATCCCTGGCCTTCGCATTACAGGAGAGTGTGTTTTTGTTCAATGCATGCTTTGCTCAGTACCTTTCCTTTTCATGCACGGCGCTTCTTGTGCGGCACTTACGGGTCCGGCAGACAAGAAGCAACGGTGGGGTGCCTTGTTTGTGCTCGGCATGCACCTTGCAATCACCGGGTTGCAGAAAAGGTTCTTTGGACTTTCATGGGAAACCTGCACTTCGCTCAGTTTGGGATACTGGTATAAGCAAACCTCCTTTGCTCGTTTTCACTGCAAACCCTTTCTGTTGAAGAAACCTCATTTCCGTTGGGGTGCGGGACATGTTTCTTGTTCGGAACTTGCCCTCTACTTGAAACTTTGTGGCTGTTCACAAACTTGACATATTTCAAAATTAGCGCATGTCTGGCTTTTCGCAGTTTCTCATTAAGCTTGCTTGGCATGGAAAAGGCGACTTGCATAGCTCGAAACTCATTCCTTCATGACCCTTTGGCAAAAAAATGCAGTTGCGTAGCGGTATTCCCTCTTGTGATTGGCAAGTCATGTCCTAAACGAATGCGCCAGGAAACCAACAAGTGTTCTTACGCCACAGGTGGAATCCAGAAAGAATGAAGTAGGGATTTGCAGATGTCAAACAAACGTCACCTTGCTTAGGCATGAAAACGGACATGTTGTTTGCAACCAAACATTTCTCCTCATGCGACAATGGGGGGACGCCAGTTGAAGATGCTCCTGATGCGAAAATGGGGATGCCAGTTGGAAACGCTCTTGGGGCGAAAAAGGAGGGATGCAGGTTGGAGATGCTCCGGGCGAAAATGGTGGTATGCTAGTTTGAGAATTCACAGCAAACTCTAACCCTTCTAAACCTCTCACATTCAGGCACTCAGAAACTTGCCATCGCATGTGCTTGGACCATAGGTTGAGCTTTTCGGCACGAAGTGTGAAGGAAATCTAGCATTGGGCTACAAGGACAATGCAAATTCTTGTTGGCCCCTCTCTAAGGGACGTTCGCGTTGCTTTCTCGCATCTTTCTTCTTGGATCGTGGTAGTGATGATCTTCGAGCTTCATCTTTGAAGCCTTGCCCTTCGGCCTTAGGCACTTAGGCACTTCTTTCTCGGAGTCCAAAATCATCCTATCATTTTTCCTGTATGTTTTTGGAACAGCAATTTTTTTGTGCTTGCCAATCATCGCGTCCCCAGTCGCGCCCTTCATCGCAAAATCAGAAGCAATGATAACAAAGTGGAATCCTGGCCACCGGGGCGATGGTGAAGGATTCGTCGGCTGCAGAAAAGGAAACTGCAAACATCCTGGAAGTCACGCGTGATGGACCACCTGGAGCTGAAGGATGACGTCGGAGGTTTGGCGCAAGCTCTGACACGGCGCACGACGAACGGAAGAACCCGATGAGGTTATTGTGAAAAGCAAGGGGCTTCGTGCAACAGTCTCATCAGTCTTCAGAGCACGCCTGCAAATCAAAGCTGTGGGAGACCGGGCTCAACTAAGCACAGCCTGCTCCTACTTCCGAGGAGGCCTGGGGAAAGAGAGCGCCCGGGACGACACGCTCCTACTTCTGAGGGCGGCACCGGTTGCTGGAAACCCTACCTAAGTTGCTGGTGGCCTAGAGTCAGACAAGCTTCCACGCAGAATCCTTGTAAAGGACACCGCAGAAGTCCTCCGTCGCATTGACTCGACAGAGGGGGCACCTCATGGACAGGCCGAAAACGACACCCCATCACATCCAGACGCAGGACCCAACACATCACGCTTGGGAGGTGCGCCCACCATCCATTGCAGAGATCCTAAGGGACACGCGCCTCGCCACATTCAGTTGACACATCAAGCTTTTGCCATCAGCAGTCGTCCCTAACGCCTCGAAGGTTGGGGAGAAAAGAAGGCCTTTTGACTTTCTCCGGAATGTGCATGTTTCCATCCCAAGTCGAGAGCAAGCCCAGTCCGCACTCTCAGCAAGAGGCTCTGGCGACAGTAATGGAAAGACGTCAAAATAGCACGACAAGGCCACATGCAGCATCCTTGTAAAAAAGTGCAATGAGCAGTCAAACAAAGTCAGGCCGATTGACAATGAGCAAAGCCCAATTGAACCTTCGCCTTACAAAGCTGGTTCTACAAGACTGCGACTTCTTGGCGGCGTTGGCCATGCTTGTGGCCAGAAGAGCAAACGACGGCAAGCATATGGATCTCTCGAAAGCCTTTCAGCAAGTGCCGGTGTCTGAAAAGGACAGATGACGGGCGCTGGTTTTCTTTGAAGTCGTTGATGGAAACAGGGAGTATACACAAGCAATTCTTTGAGATTCGGTGCCAGTGCTTCTGTACCCAGTTTTATTCGTCTGCCAGTTTCTGAAACTTCTCGCTCAGTCAATGGACCTTCAGGGAAACCAGTTTTTTTTGCATTGAGCTTCTTTGCCACATCAGCGGCGTAAGCGGCTCAAGACTTTTGTTTGAGGGTGAAACGAAGCAACGTTAAAGCAGCGAGCAAACAAAGAAACAAACCGAACCGACAAGGCACAATCTAGGTGTCGAGAGTGAGACGCCTCTTTAGTATTTGGGGTTTAGGGTTTCTTTAGGGTCAACTCTAAACCCTGAAAGGTCGCACCGGCATTTAAAAAGATTAAAATTGCCAATGATGAAAGGAGAGGCAAGGTGGAACAGGTTGACTCGTCTGGCCTGGATCTTCTAGTGCATGTTTTCATTTGTGAAGTGCAAAGTGGTTTTGTGGTGGTGCGCGTTTGCGTGTCTGTCGGCTGGGTTCTGCTGGCTGTTCAAGTGTGGAAGTGTGCGGGTGGTGAAAAGGTGTCTGGATTTGGAGACACAAAAAGAGGGCAAGAAATCAATTCCAAAAGGTAGAGAAGCCGAAGTGACCTCACAGTGCGAGAAAGATCGCATGCGAACAATGCATGACTGCTTTGTCTTGAATGCCAGCTAAAGACAAGTTTAGCAAGCCAAGAACAAGAACACGCGTATCAACGGCGTTTTTTGTTTTCTTGAGTGTTGATGCAAACAGTATCGAATGGAAAATCTTGTTTGTCTGTGAGTTGATTTCAATTCTTTGTGAACTCAAATGGTTTCCAAAGCAGCTCAATTCTGGGCATCGAAAACGGGCCCTAGATTGAATTTCCTGTATGAACATACAAGGCCACCCAGGTTGGAGCCTCAAATTTGGAATCCAAGTTTGGGAGCCATTTTTGGGCCCAGTTGCGGCGTTTTTTTCACACACGGCACGGGAAGCCAGATCTGGCTTTCACAGCTCCTCGTGCGAGCAAAACAAATGATAAGCCTCTCAGTCGGTTCCAGTCCAAGTCTTGTGTCAGTCTTCCCCCAAATTAGAACAGCAGGCAGCAAGGCGGCAAAATGTGAACTTGTTTGGAACCGGAACTTTCTCTAACAGTGCTAGAAAGATTGCACGCGAACAATGCAAGACTGCTTTGTCTTGAATGCCAGCTAAAGACAAGTTTAGCAAGCCAAGAACACGCGTATCAACGGCGTTTTTTGTTTTCTGGAGTGTTGATGCAAACAGTATCGAATAGAAAGAATCTTGTTTGTCTGTGAGTTGATTTCAATTCTTATTGAACTCAAATGGGTTCCAAAAGCAGCTCAATTCTGGGCACCGAAAACGGGGCCCTTTCCTGTGTGAACATACAAGGCCACCCAGGTTGGAGCCTCAAATTGGAACCCAAGTTTAGGAGCCATTTGCCAGATCTGGCTTTGACAGCTCCTCGTTGCGAGTAAAACAAATAATAAGCCTCTCAGTCGGTTCCAGTCTAAGTCTTGTGTCAGTCTTCCCCCAAAATTAGAACAGCAGGCAGCAAGGCGGCAAAGTGTGAACTTGTTTGGAACCGGAACTTTCTCTAACTGTGGAGGTCACTGGAGCTTCCCTACCTTTTCGATCAGTTTTGCTGCCCCTCATCTTGGGTTTCAGATTCTACAGGTTTTGGTGCAAGGCCTGAAGAAGAGGAGAAAAGAAGGGTGGAGAGTCAACATCGGTGGAAACTGCAGCTTGCAAAAGTTCAATGCTTTGAAACAAGTGTTTTTAAAAGCCTCTGACAGTGCCGTTTGGACAGAAATCAACTGCAGGACGAGACGAGTTCAACCGTGGTGTTGATTCGTTAAGGTTGCGCGCGACACCCAAGCCAAACCGCTTGAAAATTGCAAAGTGTATTACCAGAATGTGATAAGTGCGAGCGAAGCGAGCGAAACACCAGAGTAAACTCAACAAATTTAACTGATCAAGTGTTGATTTTGAGGGTTTTTTTCTCAACATTTTCGGAAACTTCAGAAATTTTGAAAATTCGTTGAATGGTGCTAAATCCAGGGAATAATTGCAACACGCAACCAAAACGAAAGACAAAGAATTGAGGGCACCCAGCCTGAAAAAGAAAGCAGAGTTTCTTCTACTCAATCTTCTGTCAAATTTCAGTGTGCCTTGAATTTCTGTTTGGCCATTTTGGAAAATCAAAGACAAGAGCACGCAATCGAAGCTTTGTCAAAAAAAAGTTGAATGGGAATGGAAATCGAGGCTGGGCGACTCTCAAGTCGTTCTGGCCATGATGAGAGGTCAGTGTGATTGTTTTTTTTTCAATGTTAGCAAGAACTGCAAAAACATTGGT